CTGGGAAACAAAGACTCAGTATTTTAAGATAACTTTTTGCTCTTTATGCTATTTTTAATAGGTTCCGATTCCTTACGGAAAGGGAGACTTCTCAATCCTGAGAAAGTTTTCTTTAAAATGGTACAACCTCAGTTGTCTTTATAAACCTTTATTTCACAGGCTCAATATTTTTGTGTTTTTAATAAACCCAAAATACCCAAAATCAAATTAAGAAAAAAAATAGCTACAAGTAAGTTTGGGGTTTCCAGAGGACCCCCTAATGTCCATTAGTCTTACTTTCATATAATGTGCTATTAATATGTTTATAAAATTGAGATGCCTAAAAGTGTGCTATGTCTTGGTATCAGATACATCACTCTGTGTTATCAGTCAGACTTCTAATTGAATAGTTACTGTCTGCTACAAGAGTAGCCAAACTAATCAGTTGTTATGTGAGGTCAGCATTTTAGCCATGGCAACGAAACGCCTTGTCCACACGAGATCGTTTTATTCTTATTCCTTTCTCGAAACTTCTTGCAAGCAATGGAAAATCCCATGATAAATGGCGTGTCTTTAAGAAGTTTCACGGAGAAGACAATATTTTCAACTTGCTAGAATCTAGAATTTCCTAGGAGATACCGCCTAGAAACATGCAGGCTGCTGGGCGTCCCTGTGGGGAATTACATCCATTAGCTTAGTTAAGGCAGGAAGACCCATCCCAAACTGTGGGCAGCCCCAGTCCCTGGGTTGGGGTCCTGGGCCACATGAAAAAGAGAAAATAAACTGAGCACCAGGGTCCCACTCTCTCTGCCTCCTGACTATGCAGTGTGACTGGTCACCTCAAGCGCACAGACTATAGCCTCGAACTCTGAGCCAAAACGGACCTTCTTCCCTTACGTCTCATTTGTCAGAATGTTTTTTTGCACAATGACCCAAGTAACAATGCCGGGGAAGGACTTTGGTAAAGGCAGGCCTCTGCTAGTTTGGAGATCACAGCACCGGACTCAGACAGAACGCTGGAACTCAAGTGGGGGACTTGTGGGTTTAGAAAGTCACTAACCAGAATCAGGTGGAACAAGAATTGGCATGAAACTGAATGAACTGGCAGAGTATGAAAAATAAACAGAAAGAAGCTATATCTCTGACTTGTCCACTGACTCATACTGGGGGGAATTAAATTGGCTCCCACTCTGCCTTATATCAGCCACCAAACACCCCTTTATTGAGTATGCTTCAATACCCGGCTCAAATGTAATTGATCTTTCTGGGCTGGACACCCAACTTGGGCCCTCGTATTCTATTACTGACCTGTGCCCACAGTTTCTGAAATAAAATATTTATTTTATTATCTTTATATCATGAACATACCATGCCAAAAACAGAGATGGCCACGTTTATGTGTTCCCACATCTGAGTTTATTAAATAACAACAAATTCACAATCTATGTGAGTTTTATTGGCAGTGATTTGCTAAGTAGTCCCAACTTCCTTTGATAGTTGGTTCCTGGCAAACACAAGTTATTTTGTTCCAATCTTAATTATAAATATTAACTCTCAGATTGCATATTACACATCACGCAGTCAATATATCTCTATATAAGCATGTGAGGCTGCAGCAGAGTCAAGGGCAGGCAGAAAGCTAACCGAGATGCAGAGAGTGTTGGCAGGAATTAGACAATGAGCCCTGCTGGAAATCAGCTGCAAGAGAAAAAAAGGGCATTTTCTTCTGTGAGGGCTACTGAAGAGTTGAATATTGGAAGCAAGAGGTTGCCAAGGTAGAGAACATAACCCAGTCTAGATGAAGGGCCAGAAGAACGGGTGGAAAACGCAAGTCGGTCAAGGGATCAGTGAGGGAAGAACTGACAGAAATTAGCTCTTTCCTGTCAGTCCCTTAGCATACATCCAGGTGGTCAGATGACAGAGGAGACCGACCTCTGCAGAAGCATATGGTCCTTTCATCGGCACAGTGAAAGACAGTGGTTGGTGGGACCATTCCATCTAGGAGGTAGACGATGAGATCTTCCTTCTTTCTTACCGCTCCCCCCTCCCCTGCTTTGAGTCAGAGTCCCACTATGCTGCCCCGGCTATCCTCTAGATCAGGTTGGCTTTAGAATCACAGCATCTGCCTGCCTCTGCTCCCTGAGAGCTGGAATTAGAGGCACGTGTGTGCCACCACATCCGTTTGGTAGATGTCACCTTTATGGAGTTCAGTTGAGGGAGCTATCACCTTCCTTGGTCTGCTGTATTTGGTAAGTTCTTGGGCCTGCTCTTTTGGGGATGGTTTGCTTTTCTTCCCCCTCAGACTGCACCTTCCCCTTCTAATTCCTCCAAAGGAGGAGGGGAGGGAGCATGGCAGGCAGTAAGGGCTAATAAAGTTCAGGAGAGCTGATACCATCTCCAGGATGTTAGGACACAGGAAACCCCTGATAAGAAGATGGACACTTTTGTTATTTACAACTTAGGGACTGCAGAGGAACGGGTCTGCATACAGAATCTCCCACCCCAAAAATTCCCTTTTCTGCCCTCCCAAACCCCTGCACCTGGGTACATGGTCTCCACTCCTTTGAGCCACCCACTCTCCTTCACTGTGCTGATGAAAGGGCCATCAGCTTCTGCAGGGATTGATCTCTTGTTTTTAGTTTCATGTCACCTCGATCAATCAGACGGCAAAAGGCAACAAGGGAGCAAGTGATACCAAGAGCCAGTCCCACGTGCAAGAGCGGACAGAACAGCCGCTCCTCATCACGGTTTCAGCTCTCACCACACTCAGGGACACACCATAGACACGATCCCTCACAGGATAGTCATTCTGGTATGACTACCCTGGATCCCCGGGCTCCTAGAACCCCAATGTGCTTTGATCCATTTGGAAGGTACCATCCTTTTCACTTCAGGGATAAGTCATTTATTAGCCTGGGCTTTGTGGATGTTGGAAAGGTGGTGGTGTCTTATGTGCCCATGGTTCAGAGTCACATGTCTTGGTATTTGGGCTCAAAATGAAGCTCAAAGTTACTTGTAAGGCCCAGCACAGCCTGAAAATGCACAGTCTTACATAAAATGGCATAACTCAGAGTGAGGACCTGATCTCAACTCTTGAGAATCAGGCATTTCAAGCCATTCTTTGGCTAATTGTCACAGCCTAGTCTGTCTTTTCCTTGTTTGAACTACTTCTGTTTTGTATATCCCAGTGTTCCAGAACTCTAAGAAAAATGAACATTATGGAGGCCTAGGGATGGGATGTGAGTTAGCAAGTCACCATCCATAAGAAGCAGTCTTTCAAAACAAATAGCAACACTCAAAACCACCCATAGCCCAGCTGTGGTGGCACATGCCTGTGTTACTAGCACTTGGAACCTGAGGCAGTATAATTGTGAGTTCAAGACCAGCCTGGGCCACACAGCAAGACCCTGACTCAAATAAATAGATAGATAAATAAATAAATAAGATACAACTCACATGGTTTTGACATACAACTGTACATTGTTACATGTACATAAATATGTAATAACCACAACAAATGTTAAAGATAAATATGCAAAATATAAGTTTACAGGTTGATTACACAGAGCAAAAGTTGATGGGGGGTGAAGGCTACAAAATCAAGATTCTTGGTACAAAAGCATTCCATGGAATTTCATACTTACTTCCTGCACACAAATTCTTAAGGGCCAGGGTAGAGTTGCAATGTAAAGCACATGCACACTCTTCAACCACTGTGATATATATGTGTGTATATATATATATATATCATAAATAAAAGCCATCGCTTCTGAGAAGTACCCTTTTGTGCCCTTGATAAACCTGCCTTCTTCTATCTTAGGCTTGAAACTCATCTCTTAGTAAAGGCAGACTAGGTTCATTCCTGTTTACGATTAAATCTGGTTCTCAAAGACTGGGCTATGCCCCACCTGTAACGGTAACTACAAATGGTTCTGCACTGCCTGTTCCAGGAAATGGCAACCGTGTGTTTGTTTCAGGGCTGTTATGACCACCTTGCAACCCCACCTTTGTTTCAAAAGGCGATTATAGGCACCCGTTGTTATGACCACACAGTTATGTTCTGCTTCTGTGATCCGGCCTATTTGCCTGCCAAATTCATTGGAAACCCCCGAACCCTGAGCTCTAAAAACCCTTTGTTAGTAGTCAGGCGTCTGTACTGGCCGGCCCTCGGGGTCCTGACAGGATATGCCCTTTGCGTTCCTCGATTTCACAGAAATACAAAGATTCCTTTTTAGTCTTTATATATTTAGGCAAGTAATAGAATTATAAAATTTAAAGGCTGAAGGTTTAAAGACCAAAGTTTAGCCTTTTTTAATTTTTTCCAATTCTACAAGTGTGTGTGTGTGGGGGGGACCGTTGGTTATTCTAATTAAGCATTTTAAACCAACATTCTAGACAGGCAGTTATTTTGAACAAATCCTATCACCATTGGTCAATAAAAAGTCTTCAAACAAGTCATGTGGGGTTCCTTGTAACTCATGGTCCTTCATCGATTTCAGCTGGTTAGGACCAGTTCTAATAAAACACCATCGTTAGCTTTAACAGGTCCTTGGTACCTTGTGCCTTATTCTTCCATCCTTCACCCACTCAGCAATATTCAGTAAAAGGCAGGTGCTAGGTGCTGGATGCCAGAGGCAGAGGCAGTAGCAGGTCCTGAGGCATGGAGCCGGCCTAGCAATGTGATCTTGTCACAAAATCCTTTGCGTCATTTGATCCAAAGATTCCAGCTAAGCAAATCATTAACCGAGTGGTCAAATATTTACATGTAAAGAAAGACACTTAGGAGACTATTACTTAGCCAAAAAGTAGAAACAACCTAGTATCCAACAATAGTAGAACTGTTGAAACCAATTGAAAGCTGAAGCAAAAGGTTTGTCAATGTGGGTGCTCTTAGGGACCTCACACAGTGTTCTCCATTATGTTAAACTGATTAATTAAATACGTGGAATGAAGCATGCCAGAAATGGTAGCGTTATGTCATGCATTAGTGTGGGATTTAATGAACCTTCTCATTCTGAGTGTTCACTTCATTCTTTTATTAGAGTGTGTTTTAATCTTATTCTCTACGAAGCATTTGGGGAAAATCCCCCTTGCCCAAACCATAAAACAAACCAGAATACATAATAAGCAAAACTGAAAGGTACTCTAGAAATTGCTTAGTTCCGTGTACACGGTCAGGATCCTGCAACCGAGAACTCCACCGATAGCAGAATTTCCAGCGCCTTCATTTCATTTTCTGTTCCTACTGGCTTCCTGCAAACTGCACTCCCCACGATTTCCCTAAGATGAGCAAACAAGAGCAAGGCAGACAGTTCTGAAGTAGGCAATGACTGGCATTTCCCCCGCCCAGGTATCCTAGACAAGGAGAAGAATGTTCTGTCTCATTTCCATGGCCACGGTGTCTAAGGAAACGCCACTGGCAGCTGGCGCTTTACCGCAGCCCTAAGACAAGTTCAGTGTGCGCGGCGCGACACTAGGGCAGTGTAGGCTATCTTGTTGGAGTTCCTGGCCCAGGGATCACCTGAGCCCTGGAGTTGAAAGTCAGCCTCCCCCACCACACCCAAGAACCCACCTAGTCCCCCGCAAGCATTACTGTGTCCTTTTGACTCTACCAGAAAGGACTGCATTAAAGAAAGGGCAGAGTGATTTAACATCTATTCACTAGAATCCCCACTCTCTTTGGGTAGAGTAGAAAGGGTTGAGATAAGGACTCCGGTAGCCAGCCTCTGCTGGCCTTGAACTAGCTAAGTGGCTAAGAATGACCTTGAACTTCTGATCCTCCTGACTCTGGCACACACCAATTACACCCATCACACCGGGCTCCCTCCTTTCTCTGTCACTTGACTTTCCAGGGAAACATGAGAATGAGACCTGAGGCCAAAATAATCCCAAGAGCTCGCTCCTGTGGATAGGAAGTTCTCTTTGCTGTCAACTGATAAAACATTCAACAATGGTCAGTCTTGAGCTCCTCACTGTCAGTGGATGAAGGAAGCCTGTCCTTCATCACTGGGTTGCTTAGAAACCAAGAGATTGTAAAAGCAACAAAACCCTGCAGTAACTCCAAAGCGCCTTCACTTATGTAAGAAGCTATGAAAGAAGGAAGTCAGGGGCCAGCTCCGGGCTTTCTGTGGGCTCCCCGAAGGCCAAGGAGAGGCTCGCGGGGAGGGCAATGTACAGAAACCCGAACTGCTCCTGCCTAAGCTATCGCGCCCAGTACCAAAGATCAGCTATTACTATAATGTCACTCTTAGGGCCAGCAGGGCGGGCCGCGGGGCTGCAGCCAGGCCGGGGTGAAGTCCCTCACTTGGGCAGGTGGCCAGGCGCAAAGCAGGACTCAGTCCCGGGTACCGCCCGGCCCAGCCTGGCCCAGCCTGGCCCAGCCTGCCACCCGGGCTCACGTAGCCAGAGCATGAGTCAGCGCCAGCCTCACCCGCCTCCCAATCGGGGACGCCCCGCTTAGCCCGCCTGCGGCTTTCACACGCCCAGAGGCATCCCCCTACCCCAAGATGCCACGTGGGCTCGTCTTCACAGAAGGAGGGGCAGGAGTGTGGGGGCTGAGAGTAGAGCGAGGGTGGTCCTTCCTCAGCACGATCTTGACCTTCTTCTGGTCCCCGGGGGTTTCCTTTGTACAGCACGCAGACTGGGCTGGCTGGCTGTCGACAAGGAGATGGGGGAAGGGGAACGGAGGCAGAGAGTGAGGGAGAGAGAAGGGTGCTGCAGGGGTCACGACCCGGGCAGATTGGGAGTTGAGCTGAGTAACCTTGGAAAGGGGCCGGGGAGCCCCTTATCAACCGCATTTCTGTTGGTGTGGGGACTGGCTTGTGTTTCCTGAAGCCTGCACCTGTTTAGTTCTAACCACCGACTTTATAAAAGGAAATTGCCTACGTGCCTGACGGCTGAAGGACAGAATTAGAAGTACTCTTTGCTGAATGTGTGAACGCAGCAGGACCGCCTGTTAAGCTCTGGACCTACAGGGTTGCAAGCCTGGGCCTCCCAAGGGCACAAAAGAATTCCAAACCTCCCTTACTCTTCCCCCAAGTTATTTCCCCAAGTAAGGGCACATTATAAAGCTTTATTATTTTAAAAACATTTGCAATGTGCAAACGTCACTTCTCCCCCTTTTCTTTCTTTCTTTTCTGTTTAGTTTGGTTTTTGAGACAGGCCCTCTCTACATAGCCCTGGCTGTTCTGGATGTCACTACATAGACCCAGGCTGGCCTCGAATACACAGAGATCCATCTGCCTCTGTCTCCCTAGTGGTGAGATTAGGCCACCACACCTGGCCTAATGTCACGTGTTTTCTTCTTCTTCTTCTTCTTCTTCTTCTTCTTCTTCTTCTTCTTCTT